AACATTGAAACACCTCAAAATTGAAACACCTCAACATTGAAACACCTCAAAATTGAAACACCTCAACATTGAAACACCTCAATATTGAAACACCTCAACAACATGTAGATCATTCTGAAACTGGAGAATTTAGGGAATCCGATGGTGTGGAGAAACGACCGTATTACTGGGCAAATCTTAGAAGAGCGTTACTTTGGAGATGGTAACCTTGACATCGCCATCGCTCAATGACATATACACTTTTCTGAAAGTGGATGACCTCCCAAAGTCGATTTTGAAAAGAACTCTCGAGTTGCTGAGCAAATCTGAGGAATCATCTGAACTGTGCAAACCTGAGAACAGTGATAGCTTGAACATGGTGACCCTAATCATGCTAAACGAAAGTACACATTGATCAATATAGATACGATGTATTGAAATGAGCGCTACCGAGCAAGTGAGATATCTCAAGAACATGAGATATTCCTCTAGGTGGTAACAAAATCTCCCAACAACCAACACCTTTCTGAAAATAGAAATCTTGGAAATCCGATGGTGTGAGGGAACGACCACATTATTCGGCAATCAGTCAAAACAAATCTTTAATTGCGCTGGAAAGTTGTCGATGGAGCTGTTATTTGTTGAACGCATTGCACCCAGCGATATTCAGTTGGATTATGATGGAATCGTGCTCGGTTAAGAACTGAGATTGTACTGTGTCAAATTCGTGAATTGTTTTTATTGTTCCAATCGTTACTGTTATCGAAATTGATAAATTGCATTGCGTATCCACCATCTTGTCACGACATTTGTNTCCACCATCTTGTCACGACATTTGTCGTGCGATAAAGCAATAAAATGACACGGTTTAAATTTATCGTAGCTGACATTGATAAGTCGAGAAACGACTTCAGTTCGTCGTTATTAATAAAGTGAATCCAGTTTTTCCATTTCTGTCATACAACAAAAAACGCACATAGTTTAATGCGAGATTTTGAACGAAAAATTTTGTGCAATTTCCTTTACCCATTAAATCACATTCGGACATCGACCATACAAGTACGCAGTGATGAAATTATAATTGAGAAACTTAACAACTGAATCGTAAAACAATATCAACGGATTCATCTCAGTTAAAATAAATTCAGTTCATTTCGAATAGCTCGCAAAATTTCAGTACCGATAATTCGTTATGAAATTATCAAAATATTGTTTTCATGAGATTATTCGGCCTAATAACTTGTCACCCATAAGAATAATAACTTGTTTGGATAAGAAATCCGCACGGTATCATGCACTCACCAATCGCGCTTCTCATCATAATCGAACAAAATAACTAGTAACTGATGAAATCATCGGCAGACAATTCACATACATCACAACACGAATATAATTAAACAACCTTTGCAACAATACCAATAAGAGAATATTTCCAAGTCTGATGTGCTATTTAATGTCTCATAAACCTTATTATATAACAGTAAGAACAAATAGCACGAACAAATGAATTAATTGAAACAATTTTAGATCGAATGAATCAATCCATAATGAAAACATTTAAAAGGATTGATTCTTTTAAAAATCGAAATGTTGATCTAGAACAAATAATATTTCAAGTATGGATGAGACAAAGGCGATGTAAATAANAATAACGGCGATGAGGACGATAAATTTCTCTGAATATTACCTTATTAATTTCTTATCCTACATTGCTCACCGATTCAATCAAAGCCGTTAAACTGATCAGAATATTTCTTTGAGATGGGAGGCTATCATCACGAATTATTGAATTTTGAATACGGTGCGAATGATAAGAGAATATCGAACAGTAATTTCTTTGAGACTGGCGATCGTATGATAGAGAGGAAAATTTTTCAAGGAGAAGACGGGAGTTGCAAGGAGGAGACAGCAGTAAACTGATTCAAGAGATGGGACTGCTCGACTTAGTATAGTGTATAATCTTACGACCATAAAAGCTTGTCTAACAATATAAACACTTATCAATCTATCGTACACTCAATGACAATTAATGAAAATGGACAAATAAAGATAGAATTGGCAACAACATTGATATATAACAACAATGTACATATAGTAACAATAATGTTTATGATGATAACTACTGTAATAACTAAAATAAAATAATAATAATATATATTTATAATGCTGATCATAATAACAATAAAATGATAATACAGCGATCCGATGTTATTTTTTGAGAAAAAGTCCAGCTGTTTCGACGATTCGTTCTAAAGCGGTTGCATACTGCTGTTTTGTGATGCCATAATCGGATAATTTGATCAATTTGGCCTTAATTCGCTCCTTTTCGAACGCAGCCTCAGGATCCGTTAAATCCAAATGATCATCAATGCGTCGCAATAAGCCATCATCCAACAATCTCACTAAACACTCTTTCAACTGAAATGCATTACGCATCATTATTACACTAATAATGAGTTCATATGAACCATCTCATAGATATTCAATTCGTTCGCTGATCGTAACTTCAAATCTGAACAGTATTCGAACCATTTTATGTAAATAGAAATGGCGCAGTAAAGATTTTCACCTTTCAATGATTCTACGTCGAAATCTTGAATCAATAACACAGATCAAAGGGTAAAGAAATTCTAACGATGGCACAATAACTCAAAATCAAATTACTTTATCATCATCGACCGTCCTCACGACGGCTGGTCCTCTTAAACGAAAATCTCCGATTGTGAAAAACGGTCCTTGAAATAGTAATAACGAACGTATCACTGCTTTATGCAAATATGTTAAAGTTGGATCGGGCTGCTGAAATTTGTTATCTTTTGTGATGAGATGAACAGCTATGCTGTTATTGTTGATATTATTGGTGTTACCGATAAAATGATGCTATTATCATTGTGTTTTCACTGAAATATCCAGAAGTCGGTGCTTGTGAAAGGTACATGGAATGAGTAAAGTCACGTTGACTCATCGTCAGTGGACACAACTCTAAACAGAATGAACTAGAATCAAACCTTTGGCGCAGGCGTGAACCTAGTCGACAGAGAAGGTGGTGCGCAATCTGGCGATGAATCACGACTTGCTTCGGTACCTCTCTTATCATTATCGCTGTTAGCAACGCTATCATTAATTGCTGACTGCTGATTTGATCCGACAACATTGATCGCTTTTAACAATGGTCTGCTTGGTGAATCATCGCTTCGTTCAGTGGTGATATTATTTGAACTTGCACTCGCACACTTGTTCCTCAGTACAGCTTGATTCACTTTTTTAATCGCTTTTGATGATGGCGACGACGAGTCATCTTCATTGCTTTGCTTCCTATTGTCATTAACATTTTTATTATTGCTGCTGCTACTCTTATCAAGACCGCTATTATTGACACCATCAACTGCTTTCGACGTCGACGCTTTTATGACGCGGCCATTGAACGAACAGGGTGAGGGTACCAATTTTGGTGGTGCTCGAATCAGCTTGAATGTTGACCCATTACCCGATGTTACACGCACCAATGTCGCCAAACGACCTCAATTACAAATTCGATTTAGTTTCATAATTAATCACTGCAAAACTGCACAGTTGACTGAATGAATGAGCATTTACGATTACTCTATTATATCGTAGGTTTCAAAATATCGGCAGGCAGAAGGCTTCTCATCGGCTTAACCCATGAAATGTGAGGTTCGGTGAAGACCTCTAGAGATATGTTTGTGATAAATGACCGCAGTAAATGAACAGGTTTCAGCATTTGATGTCATATGCATATAGAACTTACCATATTGACAATTATTGAGTGTAAGTGGTGTTGTTGTCGTTGAAATGCTTGCTTTAGAAGTTGTGGCAGAAGTGGATGCACTGCTACTGGTCACTGTGATTCCAGGATGTGACGGTGAGGACTGTAATGACGGTGGCTGATTGCTTTTAACGGTCACTTGAGCGGTTGCACTCACTGCACGAGGACGAATCACTATCGGAGGGGTCTGAAGAGGAATCAGTCAGTTATCAATAATAAGCACTGAATGAACACTCGAATCGAACCTTGTAGGTTGCAGTCGAAGAAGAAGAAGAAGNGTCTACCATTCAAGAGAAGCGCAATGTTGAATGAATTAATTGATGCGAATTTATCAAGCCCGGGCCAGTTTTCAATGAACTCATCAAAGTGCACAAAATGTCTTATCGAAAATGCTCCTTTGTGGATCTACTCACAAAATACATAAATTCGTGCACACCTCCACGCATCACTTAACCAAATCAACACTAATCAAATCCCATTTCGTCATAAAGCAAATCAGCACTATGACACTACTCCTGTTACGTTGACACACAATTCAACTAAAATGTTGTTCATTCACACACTAAGCCTAAGCCTAAGAGCCCTTTGCTACTGTACTTTCGCTTGCTGAATTAGAAACATTGAATATGAACAGAATGAAATTGCGTGTTATCTGAGCTGATTACGCGCTATCTGAAGGGAACGCCCGGTGAAGTGACTGACACGCGACCGTACAAATACATCTATTCACAGGCAAGCAACTAACAGTGAGATTGCCTTTTGGGAATCGGTGAGGGTGGACGGGGGATGGGATATACAGAATATTCGATTGATTGCACAATAAATACTGCAATGAATCGTTCCATCAAAACAAAAATATGAAGTTCAATTTCAAATGAAATGAAATTACGCTAAAAACTACAGAAATATAAAACAGATTGTATAGAATTTTAAAAAAAAGCAAAATTCAAACCTCCGTAATGCAGGTAATTCATTCGCACATTTTTGACAAGTAACCCGCGACGCTCCGGTGATCACATCATTTGATGAAGGGATACGCAACGGTGAAGAAGATATCGCAGGAAACAGATCGTTTGAAGAGGACGGCTGCATTAACTCCATTTCTTTCATATCAATACTTGTCCCCAAACCTGAAACTCATCCATCTTGTTCTCATTCAACAAATTCACGCCATTCCTGAATCAATCAACCTTCAATTCATCACACTAATCGTTTAGAATAACGATAATAATTTTAATAATGGAGAAAAAGAGAAAGAAGTACGATAAAAAAAGAATAACGATAACAATAATAAAAACAATGACAACAGAAACAATAACAGACAATCAAAAATAATCATGAAGGCATGCAGCAACAATGATTCTCTTAAAATTGACAACGAAACAATAAAAAGAATAATGATAGAAACAGTAACATTGCTGTAAAACACTCATGAGGGTGGCCGGTTGAGTGTCACTTGAATCGCCGGCTGATTTTGAATGAGTTGAGGCAGAGGTGGATGGAAGTGAGCAGCTCGCATGCTCTTCTTTGATCAATGTTTTTGCTTTTTTGCTCTCTGCAACATTTCAATTTATATTCACAACGATCGAATTATTCACAACAATAATGCAGCCAAGTCAGATTCATCACATCACATCTAATAGCATGCATAAATTTATTATGAACTTCACTTCACATCATTAACGTTTCGAATCAGCAACTAAAGCAAAAAAAAATCTATGAAAAAGTAAAAAGGTAACGACGAACCCTGTTCAACAACAGCAGAAGACTGCTCTTTTGCAACTTGTTGCTGAGCAACAGTTTTGGATGGAAAACAACTCGGATGCGATGCATTATTCAATACTGATTTACTATCGGATGGTGCGGATGATAATGACGGAATGATCACTTCATCATATGATCGATTATTGGATGTTGTTATCACAGAACCATCAATTTCGGATACGGACGGCGCGTGTGCAACCAGATTCGTGAGAGTCTCTTCGATTGTTTTTGTTCTCGGCACACTTGTTGATGTGGTCACTGATGAAGTGTTCGAGTCTGATTGCACTGTCTTTTTGACGACTGAATTTATTCGATTCGATTCACTTTTCTTTTCGTTTACACTTTTGAAACAAACTTGAGTGAAAATCTCTTGTGGGAATACTCATTAATTGCTTTGCGGTGATAAAACAAAAACTTTTCACTGACATCCATCAACCAAAACATCCACTGATAACTTGCATGATAAATTAATTAAAGAATGTTTGAAAATGAGTCAAATATATAGCGTATAAGAAATGGAAGCATAAAAAATTAGTGAATCGATCAATTATTCTTCTTTTTCACACAATTATGCGCTCTCTCAACGTGAGAACAACGAAATCGAAAAAAAAGTTAGCAAAATAAAAGGAAAATAAACACATAAACATAAAAATGAATGAATGAATCCACCTGATGCCACATTACCAGTCGCAGAATTCGTTTTAATCACTTTGAATATTTTCGTTGTTCCACTTTTCCCATCCACAATAAACTTTGATGGTTCGTATTTTTGACTGGTTGTCGCCGTTCCATTTGAAACCGTGGCTGCTGTTTTGATAAATTTGTAATTTGTACCAAACGCTCCTCGATCACCTCTTTTAGCGCTTGACAATGATTCGAGTGCTGTGAAACGGGATTAATCAAAAGCAACAACAACAACAGTCACATATGAACAATGCAAGAGTGCTGCTTGAAAGTTGTTCAATCGAATCAAAATGTCTTGAATTTGATAATAAAATGAATGAATCAAACTGTCGTTGAATCAAAACTCTTCGCAAGAACGAACGAGCAAACGAATGAACTCTTCAAATTTGACAAATTTTCTCAATCCAGTCGCAGTTATTCTCACTTTCATCAATCAACATTCCCAGTCAATTTTGCAGCCATCACAACTCAATCGTCTCCCATATCGATCTATCAAAACTAACATCATTTCGTGATAATTTCCAACAAACAACTTCACTCAGACGCTATAATCTTTTGCAACAAAGGCATTTGCCATCCCTCCTCACAAAGTAAGGAAGGGAGTAAATGAACTTCGGTTTTTTGGATGTGTCTAATCGTAAGGGTAATTAAAAATCTTTCAAAAACGATACTCTGACAATGAAATGATGTGCATCAAATCGAATTAATGAGCAAATGAAATGACCGTATGGAGTTACCAACCTTTCATTGAAAGACGCACAATTCGTGGTGATTTCTGAGACGCTAACGATGCAGGAGAGTTAATCTTATTGCTGCTGTTGCTATTACTGCTTTGCGATTTAACGAATGACGGCAACTTTAGTGGCTGCGTTGCATCAGTCTCACCGAGTTTCTTCATCTCTCTTTTCACCGCCAATTCCGTGACTGCTTCTAAGGCACTGTTCAGCGATTCATCATCACCATGCTCACTTTTCGAACTCTTATCAACTAAAAATTTCACCTTTCAATTCCTGAGTAGTCATCAATAAAGCAATAACGATATCATTACACTTTTCCTCATTTTCTTCACTTTGTACATAATAACCTATGTAATAACACTGATATTTGTTTCAATATTAACAACAATAACGACAAAAATAACAAGTGAATGGGCTATCCATTGCAATTTGGCGGATATTTGAAGACATTTACAGACCAAATGGAGTATTTGCACAATGATAGTTACCTGCTAATACTGATGAGGACTGCGACTGCGATAATTTACGTTTCCGCGATGGAGCAACACCTTTCGAAGACGACGACTTACTGTTACTACCCGTATTGCAATCACCCTCACTCCCGTTATCGCTGTTCTTACCACTATCAACACCAGTATCCTGGCTACTTGAACAGCATGCAGTAGCATGTGATTTTCTGAATTTTAAACAATTACTTACTTCATCCCTTGGCAATATCATGTTTCTGTATGTGATCAATGCCTCACAACACTTCTATTGAAGTATAGATCCTCGGCCATTTTATAAACACTTTACATATTAACCCAATAACAAACCAATGATAGTTATTTAAAAATAAAACTCACGTTTCAGTGCCGCCGTTCTTTCGGTTATTCATCTCTTCTCCACCGTTTTCCCTGTAACGATACAAAGCTAAGAAATGAAGACCCAGTTCGGCTATATCCATTACCCAGTATATCCATGTTTCCTTCATAAGCAAGATATATTGGTACACTAATATTCTGCAGCACTCTCAAACTTGCGATATCATGAAACTATAAAACTGCATCGAAAATATCCAGGACGCCTTGAGAATCTCATCTATGTTTTCTTTTGCAGTAATCAATTCATAGTTCAGCTAGAACAACTCACTGAATCACATGCAAATACAAATGAATCGCACTGAGCTCTATCAAAAACGAAATCAGAAAACTGAACCGAACCCAACAATAACTCGATCCATAAAAGTCATTCGCTCAAAAATTTCCCACTTCGAATCACTTCCGTTACAATCGATCATCTTATCAGCTAATCGATCCCGTCTCTCTTTGCTATATTGCATTCGCAATTGTTTCCAAGCCAGCCTTGCACTCTCCACACTAACTGAAATGATATGCAAAACCAAATTATATAAATAACTCTAATAATCCTTCTTTTCTTTGCTTTAATAGTCAATCACCGTTAATCATACTGAACAGTTTTCAATAAGGCGTTCGAAACAATCAATTCAGTGGATAACTGAATGAAATAACGATTCTGTTGCCGAATAACCATCGCAAAGAACGCAGCGAAAAATAATGAAATTTGGATATTAGGCAAATAATTGTCTTACAAATTCTCTGCAAAGATTAATTTGACAATAAAGGTTTTCTCAATGCATATCGTTAGTTGGGGATCGTGAACGGACAACTGAATGGAACAACCTTTATGACGCCATCCAAGTTTATCGATAATTTCTTCAAACGAGTTCCACCAATCAACTGATCCAGCATCCAAATCAGCATCCTTATCAATCGAATGCATCCAAACTGTTGGATGTAATTTGACTGCATCGATAAACTTTTTCAACCCCTCATTACCACCACATCGTTTTCGAATCACATTCATTTCACCGCAATTTTGTGCTCTTATTCTGAAATTCACTGAAGTGTTTCTATTAGTTATGCAATCATTAATGTTGTTGTCGTTGATGTACCTCCAATTTCATCACTTTACAGTTATTATTACAGTAACGATGATCAACATTATTACTACTACTTTTCCTGTTGTTACTTTATATTATACATCTTTCTTGTCATCAGTATCAATTCCTTGTCACTGTAGTACCAGTACTGTAATTACAACAGATATTCTAACGAAGTGCGTGCAAATTATTATCCTTATCAATGTGAAGGAATTTACACCTCGAACGATCATTATCTGAGCTGATTACTCGTTCATTCAACAAATTTCACTCAATTTTTGCTAGTTCAAGGCAATAAAGGGAATGCAGAGAAGAATGTTGAAAAGAAGCAAAAGAAAACGTCTAACCACCGATCGAGACGAAACGTCGAGCGTTCTGCTACGCGAACTTGCGGTCAGTTTTTGCTAGTGATCAACCTCCGCAAATGCAACAGAAATCACCCCGTTCAAGGCAGCAGATAAATACAACTCGTTCAATCTCGGCCAATGGCTGTTGTTTGAACATCAATGGCGTTGCAGCAACAGAGCAGCAGTGCACTGCTCTTTCGTTCAACAAGACCACTGTAATTTTCGTTTGAAGATAACCAACGAACATGACGATCATGTCCGTGTAACCATTACTCAACATCCTTATAATACACTGAATTTATACCGTATAAAAAGGCAATCCAGATGAGAGTCACTCGCAAACGTTAACAATGCGCCGCAATACCAACCAACAACCTGAATGAATTACACCGGTTCTTTGTCCCATCTTGCACTAGTCAATTGCGATGAACTAGCAACACATCTTGTATCGTACCCGCCCCAATTCTTTGACAATAAAACTTTCCCTGCACTACTAATATACGGTCAATGCCCACAAATGATGGTGCACAGCTGAACGGGAAACTTTCCGATGTGTGATAAGTGGATTTGTTGAGATGCAAATAGCTTAATTTTAACATTTTTTAATAATTATGCTAATTTCGAAGCCCTCTGCCTAGCAATCATCAGGCAGCACACAAGAGTGGCTCCTATACCTTTGTGATCATTGAATCAACGGTGGAGAATAGAATTTCATGAAGATGGATGATTTTCTACACAAATACGGAAAGAAGGATGACAAAGTGTAAAGGAGAATACTGTGATATTGGTGAGAACAAATTAGACAAGATATTCGTCACCCCCGCATACAGCAAGAAAAATAACGAGGATACTGTCTAAACAAAGCAATTAACAGTGATAGCATTTATTTGAATAACACAGAACATTACTGATCGTGAGAATAATCATTAAACTGAAGTGAACACGACAACAGACTAGACAAGAATGTTATCGAAATAGTGAATTGTAGAATTAATTCGACTCGCAATCAAACACCTTTTGCAATGACCATCACAGCTTAAAGCATCACTATCCATCATTGAACATTCACTGAAACACTCCACCGAAACATCTGCATTCATGACGCGATCTTTCTGATAAATGAGCAGAGTTACTCATCGTCCATAGACACGTAAAATACGTGAAAAAAAAAACAAATTAATAAACAACACCGATAAATAATTATCACGAAATTCGCCGATATTACAGAAGACATAAGTGATATTTATTCAAATATGCGTTTTTCAATATTATTTAATAATATAATAGTAACAATGATAATGATAATAATGACAATAATAACAATTTAAGTTACAACTGCAAATTATTGCATCGGGAATTCAGATATAGATTTTAAATCTTTGTAGACAATTAACATTGATTAAGATAAAGCTCAGCGAACTGTTAGTGAACACAAACAAGGCTAAATTTACTACTGTACTCTTATGCAAATCACTAAGTGAAAAATACCTCCCAATTCAATCTGATATTACAGAACGGAGATTTGATATCATTCCATGAATACATTTTTGATAGCAGCGATATTTTTATGATAAAGTCAAAACATACGGATAGTATCGATGAATAGTAATCGGAAATATTATATCATCATTAACAGTGATGAAGAACGAAAGACTGAAGCATTTCACGGAACTGGCATTCAACTTATCATTAAGGATACGCGAATAATGATGAGCTGTTCACATCCCTTTATATCCATCAAAACGCAGTGGTTTATTTCATGGATGATTTGGATTCNTCAAAAAAATCTATAATTGCTGTGTAGAATTGCCATTCCATCTCGCTTCGTCATCATCACCCTCTTCATCATGTTCGTTGTGAAAACGATGGATATTATCACCGTCCTTAAATTCATTATATTAATTGTTGTTCGATTCATTCAATCGAATATTCATTTTGTGCATTCCTCAGTCTGGATACGCAATACGAAACTATCGAATTCGGTTCATTCAACTCTTCTCCCACTCACATTCACCTAATCTCCGTAAAACTACACAAATGTGACCAAACAATTTTTGCACACAAGATGAATGGAACCGTTTGAATGTGTCAATGATACTAACGGAAGAAAAGCAAGTCTCGTAACAGTGACTTTTGTCTCGGATAGCGCTAACGAAACAGCACGAATATCACCCAAACACTACTGACAGCAACGATAACAATACCTGTTTTCTAGTAGAGGATTGATTCGGATTAGATGAATCGTTCTTTTGATGCGATGCTGTTGACGGCACCGATGCAGCTGGTTGATTCGTTGTTGTGGGAGTGAGGTAACCGAATAAAGATGACACAAAATTGAAGAAGAATTGAAAAGGCGACACTAATAAATATTGCAACAGGTTCATTACACCAGATCCTGACTGCGACAACACAGCCGTATTTTTCGAGGAATGTCGCTGAAACTTATCACTTTTACCATTCCGCCACAATTAATCATTTGCTTACCTATTGCAAATAGTTCCCACACAATATCTGAACAATATCACCGTATATGGTTCAAGTGTGATTATTTCTATTTTCAAACAATGCATGATTACTATTATCATCACTACGATTACTAATGGATGCCACTATCATTCCTCATATTCACCATCACAACTACTACATTTTTGGGATTGAACGTTCAGAAATGTTCCAAAAAATCCGACTTGAGGTCTTAAGATTAGAAGTTTGACTTTTTGTCCAAATCCAAATCTATATCAATGATGAATTTGGAAAGATTAACATGATTTAGGAGTGTTGGATATTTCAATGACGACATGAATTTATACACGCCAGACGAGATGTGCCTCTCGTGTGCAGATTAAATCAGTCTGTGTGCAGTGTTTTGATGAAATCTGAATGAAAGAATAGAAGCAAAAAGAAGCAACCGTAACAACGAGAATTGTTGCTGATGGCGTCAAACCAAGTTCCAGAAACGATGAATTTGAATCCGGAAATTCACGACGAGGATACATCTGAACCAAATAAAATTCTTCCTTCTGTCGACCGTCCTTAAAATCCTTATGGATAATTTAAACTCCAACAGCTACATTATAATACAATACAATTCATTTCATTCGCTTTCCATTCACAACAACACTCATCATGAGATTTGATTAGCAAATGAATAACGCATTATGATTTTTAGGAATGTATTCGAATAACCTGTTTGATGAGTTCGATTAATTCGCTGAATTTGCTGGATGATGCGAACTGATGAACCAGTGTTGAACCATCCGGAAACTTGCATTGAATGCGACATTCAGAACTGATAAAATCGACACTATTACGATTCTATCCAAGCTATTTTATTCAGTGTGATATTTCATGATGTTTTCATAAGTTTTTCATTATCCACATAGAAACACCTAATTGAGTTATCGAATGTTAATGAAGCTGCATTTGAGAATATAATTGATTATTTTCTCTCAATCAAGCCATTTCTTTTCAGATTAATGAAGTGAATCTCTTAATGACGAATCAATCGTATAACGAACTTGATAATGCAGCGTTACTATCATACTACTAACCAAATGATCGCAATAGCAGTGAAAACGGAATTCCCAAATTAAATCAAATCACGCAAACAAAAATTCGAAATACGTAAAAATGTGAGCATGATTAATACCTCGGAATAGGTTGCTGTAATAATGGTTTATTTTCATCTGATTTATTCATGCCGCATACATTCGCTTCAGGTGCATTTCGTCTTTGACGTTCCTCCCTGCAAAGCAGTCCAATGCAATCAAGGCGACAAAAGTAATTGGAGTATAATTATAAAATGACGATGACATTAATAATCATATTATTATTAATAACAATCATATAAATAATAACAAGAGTAAAAATAACGATAAGGCAAGATCAAATAATCAACCTGTCGGCTTTGATCTGCTCTCGCAGTCGTCTCAACTGCTGCTCGGCCTCGATTTTATCACGACGTCTTTTTTCAGCCAACTCACGAATTTCTTTCTCTTCTCTGGCCGACTGCAAACTATTATAATATCTCAAGCGAACTCGTCCCCCGATTCATTTTTCTCACATGTGCACAGAGACTTATAATCCAAATTAAAGATGCCGTGCGGTTAATGTCGTTGATGACAAATCAAACGAAAATAATGAAAGAACGACCAATAATGGTTCAAACCGAAAATAATGATTCAAAAATATCAAAAGTGATGAATTCTGAAAACAGTCGAATAGCTTCTGAAAACAGCCCATAATGAGTGATCGATTTCACTAACAAAAACATCAAATCGACCCAACGCACTCGCTTTCACATATTGTTAGATGATAAAAGTCACATAATAATTGGAACGATGAATATTTCTATCAAAAACAAGAACACAACACCAAATCTCAAATGAATGAATGAACAATCGAATAAATACGAACCTTCGCGTCACTCAGCAATTTTCCCATATTCCTTCTCTCCATTTCTTTTTCCAGCTCTTCCTTCTTTTTTCGTTCCTCCTCTGCCGCGTGCTTTTGTTTCAGTAATTCACGTGCTCTAGAAGGCACCAACACAACTCATTCCAATGCTCCACAATATATTCATAAAATCAGCACAAAAGCTCTGCTTATAATAACATGAATCAACACCTCAATCGAGCAATCAACAAACAGCTAATAGGCAATTAACTATAAGACATTGCACAAAGATGCCAACTAAATGCAACCGAATAAACAAAATTTGACTCCTGAAATGAACTCACCTTTTTGCTTTCTCTTCAGCGGCCATCGCATCTGATGAATTCTCATTCAATTCAGTTGCCTCTTCTTTTGGTCGTTGAGTTTTACTGTCACCAGATTCAGCACTGTCCACTTGTTTTGATGATGAAGAAGATGACGCCACATTCTTTGCTTTGATTCGATCGCCCAGATGAGCTGCCTTAAATTATTTGTAATGAGAAGGAACGAGTGTAAGTAATTTGACTGCTGAGTATGAATGTTAGATACGATGCACCCTTCACTTATTCAGGTCAACTAAATTTGTCCTTCAGCAAGATAATATTGTAAAATAAATATGGCTGCAAAGAAAACATGTGGATGAAAGTGATTATTATTTGTGTACTCATGGGAAGTTCTTCTGTGAATCAATCAAAAGCGAATGAACAACCTCGCAAGCACTTCTTAAATGACTCATGAAAACGACATCATCCATCGATTCATTTATCGTTATTACATCAAGCGGCTGACCAGATAAATCAATTATGTAAGATGATGGCACAATTGGAAGTGGATCTGGAATATTACATCTTTAACATTTTATTATTTCCAGTGTTATCCTTTTTGGCACAATAATTTATCATTTGAAGCTATATGAAATAAGCTGGAGGATCACTCAATACGAGGATAACGGCACAGGTACTGACGATAATAAAAACAGATAAGGTTATCGCTACATCAACTGAACAGATGAATATTTTAAATTAAAAATTTACAGATTTGTGAGAATTGTTGTGACTGTTCGCTTCCATGATAAATTCTTATCGCAACCATTGTTTCTTCGCAAAAACCCTCATCAATCGCATCCCATAATTTGATCATTTTCTCCGTATTTTCGTTACTGCTTTCTAAACGAAAAATACCTATAGATGTATATATAAAACAACGACGAATGACATTTCCTAAGCAGTTAGGAAAGATGAAAATTAAAAAGATAATTACGGGGTAATGTTGCATTTCAGGTTGGTATAATCAAAACGGCATTTTGTTCACATTCGCAATTGATGAGAACACAGCAAGAAATATTCGAACGAACAAAACGTCGTTGTGATTTTACCAGCCTGAAATACAACCTTACCTAATGACGGATTAACAATAGAAAACGATGAAACGATAAAACCTGGTGAATGAAGAACAGCTACAACGAAAAGCAACTTCTTTCGACGACTTTCAGCAATTGCTTCTGCAACTTCACCATCGAACCACTTCATTTTTGTTTTGTTCAATTAAAATTCAGCTACTAACTGAAATAAAACTGATAGATTCAATCAGTACTGCAAACAAATGCAAACTTCGTATAATGCCGAAAGCATCCATGATCACGGCGGATAAGTAGATCGATTTTGAGGATTCCACAAAATCTCTATTCCTTCGTTCAGTTGTAAGCAACAAAGCAATCACAATCAAAACAAAGAATGAAAACATAATCCACGAAAATCAATCGAAAAACTGGATATGACGAAATGCTGTGGGAAAAGTTTGCGAAAATGTCATGGAGACATACAAACAGAACAAGTGATTCTGTAATGATGTCGTGCTTACAATTGTCGCTATGGCATTTGTCGTAGACCCAATTGTCAGCAAAGAGCATGCGCTCGCAGGTCAACGAGTTAATGAGCAAAATTTATACCGCTGGTATGCCAGAAAAGGACCATTTTGAGGGGTGATTCACTGCGGATTGATTAAAGAAATTGTGACCATTTTGTATAGAATGAAATTCTCTATCATATGAACTATCATATTCTGAGATACGTCCATTATAAGAAAACTTGACCGCTCCTAAAGTAGAAAATGTTGGGCAAAAATGAAAGACACATTTATGTAGTACCAAATTTCAGGGTGAAGCAACAATGTTTATGCTATGAGACTAGGCACAATTTGTAGAGCTTGAAAAGCTCTATAAGATGACAATAAGAGGAAAACGTTTCGCAAATGCGCACAAAGCGAACAGAATGAATGTAGCTGTGAAAGTTAACAACGAGAAATCGTCGTAGCGCAACATTCGCGACTGATTCCAAATTTAATTCTCTACAAG